GAGAAAAGTGATAGAAATGAAACCTACACGCTTCGATTTTGCGCTTCAGCCTGGCTGGTAAATGCAGGGCCGCGAAGTCGGCAGCTCGACGTCCAGCATGCCCGTCAAAAATCGCATAAAATGCACTTCGCTGACTGAAAAGAAGGGGTGTTTGAGCGGAAGCTGCTGGAGTGTTGGGAGTAGAACTGGAGATTACATGTTACTGATGCTGCCGAGATCGAAGTGGTCATGCCTTACGTGCGCATCCTGCATGTCCTGGCGTTCGCCTTTGCGCCAACCACAGACGCTCAGCAGTTCACCAACTGCAACACATGCAAATTCATCTCAGTTGCAGCAACACAAAATCAATTTATGGCTCAATTTGATCAAATTTTTCGGGTAGCGAACACGAGCCAGCGCAGCTCGAAAGTTTACCGCGGGAATTGAAAAGAAACATTAGAGCAGGGACCGACAAAAAGAGAGTGAGAAAAAAAAAGCCGATATGAAAAGCAGAAGGGAATGCGTGAATGAAAGAGACGCGCCTTGAAAGAGAATGAAGCAATCGTGTCCACCTACCAGCACCGCCTCTTCCTCCATCTTCCTCTTCCTCGCCCAACGCTGGCCCGCCACCATTGCTCGTTGTCGAATCGCCCTCGGCTCGGCTTTTCTTGGGCTCAGAAGCATCGCCCGAAGCATCGCAGTCGGCTTTAGAGCTCAGTGCTGCTGTCGCTGTTGCGGCGGGGCCCGAGTCGAGATCGTCATAGAGCGAGATCGACAACGGCGCCGAAATTAGTTTCCTCTTCATGGCCATTGCAATCTAAATTTTAAATCGCGCAAAAAAAAAAAACAAAAAAATTGCATCCCCAAAATCAATGTAATGTGCCCCTCCGGGCTGCACTTGATGAGATGCCCATCCACAAAATTTTAATTAACGAAGAACCGGAATACTGGCACCTATACACCCACGACTGACATGGACGCTGGGACAACCAATCCCCCTACGATTCATTTTGATGGTGAATTGCTACTGGCACAACATGCCAGGGGTCAAACCCCCCATCAGCTTGCCTGTATTTAAAGCTAATGTAGAAAAGCGACTTTCGCCTCTCCCTGGGAGCGAAATACGGATCTTTATTTTTTTGACACATCATAAATGCTTATGTAAAATCAAGCCCGCAGGGCTCTCAAACCTAACTATAAGAGGAGAAATGCACTGCATTCGGCAAATTTCAAGAAGGGAAAGCGGAAGGAAAGGGTGGGGGGGGGGGGGCAAAGAAGAAAGCGAAAAAA